CACGGTGGTGGCAGCATCATGCTGAGAACACTGTCCTGCAGTGAAGCTGAGCTTCATCTCAGACTGTCCAGAACTCACCTGTAACCTGACGTCTGTTCTGTCCACCTGTCTCCACAGACACCAACACCTCTTCGACTCCAGATAAAGTCTCAGAAGATGTAAACATGGACACATCACTGAGCTCTGTCCAATCAGAAGGCAGCACACCTTCACAGGTAAGTTGGTGACACACGTGTTCATGTGTTCAGAGTGATGATGTCATCAGGTCCAGGTTCTTTATCTGAGAAAATGAGACACAGAAGAGCTGGACTCAGTTTAACTCAAACACAAGAGCAAGACAATAAAATACATGAATGATCTAAAAAAGTTAAGTCAGGTCCTCTGGACGGTTCCTAAAAACAAAAAAATGTAGAAGCGTTTCGTTTTTCATCTGAAAGACGTAGCAGTGAAACTTACCAGACAGCTGAATATATAGACCATTATTCAACACCATTATCAAATAAACATGTGAGTTACATTAAGGACACATATGACATCATCAACAAAATAACAAACCTTCATTTACCCTCAGCTGCTCTCCTGTTTACTGTGGATGTGGACAGCTTGTACACTAATATCGATACCAGAGACGGTTTGGAAGCAGGAAAACAAATATTCCAGAAACAACTCGATACCAAGAGACCTGATGAGGAGCTGCTTCAGTTGCTGGAAATAAAATTTTGAATTTAATGGGGAGTTTTTTCTACAAACCAAAGGCACAGCCATGGGCAAAAAGTTTGCTCCTGCATATGCAAATATAATCATGGCAGCGTTACATAAATGTCAAAAGCAACCTCTGCATTACTGCAGGTATCTAGAAGACATTTGGGGAGTCTGGACCCACTCAGAGAGCGACTTGGAGGACTTGTTGGACTCGCTGAACACTCATAATCCCTCCATAAAACTCACTAAAAATCACACAACAGTGGACTTTTTGGACACGACCACATATAAAGAAAGGCACACAGTTTCAAAGATGCCACAGACTGGACGTTAGAGTCTTTTTTAAGAAAACAGACACACACGCTTTATTACATAAGACCAGCCATCACCCGAGGCGCACATATGCTGGATTAATAAAATCACAACTATTGAGAATCCACAGAATTTGTACACAACAATCGGACTTTCAAATTGCCACCAAAGTGCTGTTTTCAGGTTTGCCCACAAGAGGGCGCTCAAGGTCCTTCCTGAGAGAGTGTTTGAAAACCTTCCACTTCTGTGGTACAGTTGGTCAGAAAGGTAAAACGCAACTTTGTTAAATTCCAGGAAGAAAGACAAAAACTAACAAATTGCAAGATTATTGCAGAAGAAACAAAAACTTGTAGGACCATCTGGTCCATGCAAAATTAAAACCTCTAACCTCTAAATTTTTTTCACCAAATAAAATGGGTACAAAATAAATTTCACAAGGAGGTCTTTGAAACAGAAAGAACAAGCAACCCCAAATCCAAAAACTGTATCTGATCACTTGAGCTTTGCGGCTCACAATATGTGGGTGAGACGGGCAATACCATGCTGACCAGATTCACCGAGCACAGATACAACATCCAGAGGACACGAGAAACACACACTCCTCTGGTCCAGCATTTTATTTTACATGGGTGGAATAGGCCACAGCTCTGCAGGCCAATCCTACGTGGTCTGTGGCCCAGAGAAGGAGATCAGAGAGGATTTGGATCCAGAACCTGGACACTACAACACCCAAGGGGCTAAATCAAAT